TTCTTTTAAATTGTAATAATATTTCACAATATTACTGATTTTACTATATTTTTTTGATCAAATAAATGCAGTCTTAGGAAGAGACTTCTTTCAAAAGCATTAGAAAAAATCTTACCGACCCCAAACTTTTTGATAGTCAATTGTTTATCCTTTTTTGGAGGTGCTGAGATCTTAAATCTTCCTCTTGTGTTTCAGGTTGATCCTATGCTAACTCCAGAAGAACGTCATCTGAGCAAGATGCAGAACCACGGCTACGAAAACCCCACCTACAAATACCTGGAGCAGATGCAGGTTTAGCGGCGCTGTGGAGCTAGAGAGGGGTGAACATGCTACTGACCAATTCTAAAACTGCTCTCAAATCATTTCATGCATTTGAAATGCATATTCTGCTTCATTTCAAGAAAACAAAAAACAATGCTTTATTAATACTACTACTTCTAATACTGCTACTGTTGTACCATGGAGCGCGATTTTATGCTCTTGTAACTTTTTTTTATTTGAAAGTCAATGGTTTTAAATCAGGAGAACATGATTCGGCAAATTAGCCTGGAATTGATTTTCCGTAATTGAAATGGGAACGTATTGTAATGTTATTTTAAATGTTGATTTTATAAAGTTGTGTTCAAATCTAGTCTATAGAGGTACAGCAAAGCCAAATCAATCAATATGAGACCGCAGTTTATCTACACCATCGCTGGCCGCCGGATATACTTCTTTTAAATAGATTGCTTGTATATGAAGGTTATTTGTAACGACTTAAATGTATAGTGAATCAGAAAATATGAAAAGAAAATCATTCATTCATTTACTTTGTAATTATTAAAAACACACAATATACGTAAATAGAAAAAGTAGATGGTAAATTTATTCATAGTCATATTTTTTTTTTCCAGAGCTTAAATCTTTGCTGGGTTACAGGTTTAAACTTTGAGATTGATATTCCCGGTCCAAACATCTGATACCATCGCCTGTGTAAGGTTCGAACTGAATGGCGTGACGGCCTGCCAGAATTTTTGGCTGATTGTGAATGTAGAGGTGCACGATTTCTGTAACATTACCACGTCATTTATTTTTATCTTTTGGTTATGGTGTCATATGCTTGAATCAATAAACGGTGTGGCCCCTGCAGATGATCAGTGTGGATTGGTTTGAAGGGCCACAAGGTTAGGGGCCTCCAGACTCCCATATCACACTAAAATCTCTTTACTCGGATTTTACTCAATGAATGTTATTTTTCATGCAGTTACACTCCAACACTCCCTTTTTATAGTAAATCTGGCCTGATAAAATGTTGCATTCAGCTTAAGCTTATCACAGTTGTTACTGCATTTTCATTTAATAGCTGCCTAATGAGAACTGTCATGGAGAATTTGATCATGTGGCACACATCAAAGAGAGCATAAATACGTTACTGGAGTCATCTGTAATTATACTACTATGATATATTACTACATAAGTCCCACAAGGACATACCCTTGTAAACCAACGCACTAAAGTTATGCAGCTGGAGGCCAAGGCAAGTGCAAGAATTGTTTTGCCTGTCCACTACGATGGAAGGCAAGGAAAAAAAATTAATCATTTTTTTCTCTCTCTGAGTCTTCCCCCTGCTTAGCGATGTCTTTGTATGCCTGTATAGTTGATGTTGCAATCATGGCTTTTATCAAGGACAACCTGTGGTGTGCATTGTTCTTATATGAGATGTTATGATATATATTTTTAAGTTGGTTCTCTTCTTTTATTTTCAATTTTTTTTCCCTCTTCCTGTGACAGTATTTCTGTATGTGACTTTCACTATGCACCTAAATGGCTCCAATCTTGGACCTTGTCATTGCCTGCTTGATTGTGGAAATGGTAGAAGGGGTGAGGGGAAAATAATACAACGTCCATATATTAGAAGTAAAATATGATTGAATCCAGTAGAAATGGCTTCTTGGTTACAGGTGGGAAACATCAATAAATTCACTACTTCCATGTTGGTGTCATTTTGTCGTCTTTATTCTACTTGTTTTTATACCAGTATAAGAAATGTGTGAATGTTCTGATATCTGACAAGTAGTCTGATTTCAGTTCACGATATAAAAGCATTTTAAATGTAATTTTATATATATATATATTATAAACGCAACACTTTTGTTTTTGCCCCTATTTTTCATGAGC